ACAAAAGTAAGGGATGGGATCAATGGCTATACAGGTTGTTTTGCATATTGGATTAATCTTAGCTTCACATCGATTATTGATATTGTAATATACTCTATATTCTATCGTCGTACAAAGAATCCCCCGTGTGATTCGGAGACTGACGAAACCCCAAAATGCTGAAAACTCAATCACAACCAAATCCACGAGACCGCTCAGTGATTCTGCCGGACTATTGGTTATGCTGATATATTGCAAATAGCGTAGATGTTGCATTTATTTCGGTCACGTGCACATATTAATTAAAATGTTATCAGCTGTAAACAAGATTTGGCGGACACTACAATTTTAAGAAAGTATTCTATAGAAAATTCACGGCAGTATCAGTGCATTTACTGCCAGACTGTTAGTAAGTTTATCTAGTTAATTTTAATTATCCTACGTTCAACTGTTTCCGCGGTTGTTTCAGATATTCGAGTTACCTCCAGCGTTTTTTTTCTGCCATCGTAAGAGCGACAAAACTATATCATTCGCGCATATCGAACTGTTCGGGTTTCACACCTGCATCTTTACAAATGTAAGGCTATTTTTTTTTCGCGTTAATTTTTGAGAAAGCAATGACTTTTATTTTTTTGTGATAGATAGAGGGATAACTAGTGTTGACATTTTCAAAGTAATGATGAGTTGTAACATGACAGTTTTCTTGTTTCAAAGTTTGTGTGCGCCTCATTTCTAATCTGTTCGCAATATTATTATGGGAAAATGGAATGAACTTTTTTACGGAGAGCTGGGAAATCGTCAATTGATGACGTTCTCCCCCCTTTTAAATACGTTGACGAATGTGCTCCCGATACTGAACGTACAATATATATGGTTTTAATGAATATTCATTAGCATAAACAGATTTATCATCTGTTAATCGCGGTTTTAATCAACAACGGCACACAGAGGTTATTTTCGCACCGTTGTCAATGAGGATTTCTTTATAGTAACGCACGTGATCATCGATAATGACAACAAACCTATTGTTCCGCCTCGAAAAATTGTATTCGTTGTTGGCAAACCTCCAACACAAAGTAGATTCAGCGAGATGACGTGGTGTGCGAGCAAATAATCATCTTTATAACCATCTTCTATTTTTCTTACTAAACCGATTTCACATAATTTGTCTTCCAAATCAGTCTGTGATCGTAAAACGTCCCTATGAAATTTCAGTCTATAATTTGAACAAAACTTCGCAAAGGCATGCCAATATTTAGTTTCGTTAATTATATAATCTTAGTAAATTCCCGCGATCGAACTTCACCAAACCAGTCGTGTTTGTCCATATCACTAACACGCTGTTTTAAAGGCTCGTGGTCGCTGCGAAGCGCGTGTTCTAATTCCATGTAAACAATGTATGTTACACGCGTTGTACTACGTAGTTATGAGTCCCATATCAAACACGACGCGACGTGGCGACCACCGCCCTTTAATGATACTATAAACACATCTGAATTGTTATCCAGGCCGTGCCAAAACCATATTAAAATTAAAAAATATGATTTATTTCTGTTATTTCCGTTTTTATTGATAGTTTACATCTAATATTATATGAATGTATATCTATTCTACAATTTGGCAATTCACTAAGGCGCAGCCAGTACTTATGATATATTTCGAAATGACACTAACGAAAAATTGCACCCTCCCATATTTCTCCGAGCACTGCCCTAGTACCCCCACTCCCAGCCAATGGTTACTTGTAACCCCAACTCCACAAATCTCAGCATCGTATAGAGTCACGGTTATTGGCAGTATTAAACTATCAAAAAGCTTAGCGCAAATCTTGAAGGTTAGTCCACCAACGTTAAGTTCGACACTGAATAAAGTAATCACTGCTTCGTTTACTCGACCAGCTAAATTACCAACGATTTTAGACCGTGTATTCCCAAATAATCGAAATAAGTCCTAAATGTTTAAAGATGTTTACGACTTCAACAACATCTATATTTTCGCACTCTATGCCATTATGCCAAACCTTTCGAATTCAAGTTTCTACCTACTACAGAATTCATATAAAACTTCAATAAGACGTCGTAATTCATCCACAGAGTCTACGAATGTCACCACGTTTTCGGCGCACAGCAGAGAAAACACTTATCACGGGAAACTCGTACGTATCAATAACTTATCAGTGAAAAAAAAACAGCACTTGGCTTAATACACTGCATCACGCCAATATAGCATTGAAAATAATCCAAGTTACCCCTATCTAAAAACTGACTTGACATCCCTATACACTGATTTGACTATTCCTTTTTTAACATTTAGCCTGAAATAAAAATTGCAATTTGAAAAAAAAGTTGATGATAATCGACACAACCAAACGCTTTTGGAAAATCAATAAAAATACAATATTTTCGTTTTTTTCTTACGTAAATTAGTTTAAAGTAATGCATATAAAATAAAAACGTGTTTTATTGTGTAAAAAAAAACACATTTACGAAACCAACTTGAGCGTTAGAAATAGCACCGTTTCCACGACAATTTGGACCATCTATTTAACATATTTGGTTGAAGATGTCATCAAGTAGCTTTTACGCCTATATAATTAGCAAGATCGGTGTTTGATTTTTATTTATATAGTGTTGTGAAAACGTGCTATGGCATCAGTCTCAGATGAGCTCATACGATAAAGGAGATATTTTAGTTATATACGCATTTAAATTCTTCGCAAATTGAACAAATATATTCAAATTTACTCAGTTTTTTGCCACAAAAACACTACTTCGAGTCAGTAATTCTGCAAGTCATGATTACGCGTCTGAAGTACGTGCATTCTATATATTGCTCGCTTATCCACTTTCACGTTATCAGTTTCGAGATTTTCTAGCCTATGCGGTTACACACATGAAGCGGTCATTCGCGGCTAATTCACTCTTGAAAACAGTCAACCGCGAAATTTCATTCTATCTTCGATATTTGCTGCGAATACCTTTTAATTACTTTTCAAAATGATGTATTTTTTTCTATTGTATCTTAAACAAACAGTAGGGTGGGCTATATTGTAAAACAAAAAAAAATCGCTGTTTTGTGAACAAAATATAACAAAAAAAGTCAGTTTAGTACGTGCGCCCTTTTTACCAAACGCATTCCCGTAAATCGAACTTGTTCAGTGAACGGTATTACGTGCAGTGAAGCGGAGACTGTACAATAAACTGCAGCTTTATTCGAATGAAAGTTGTAAGAAATACTCTCAAACGAAAACTATTTCGATGATTTATTCTAGCGATGATAACAGTGTTACTCAAACGGTAAAAAAAAACACATCTGAGGTATTATTGTTCGCTACCAGGTGATAAATCCGGACCTCCACCTCGTAAAAATAACATCACATTTAAATCTTCATAAAAATATACAAAAAAATCGAACAATTTTGCTATTCAATAATAGCTACCGACGGCGGCTTAATACTGCGCAAAATATAAAAAAAGAATGACTGTGAAACTTACCTCTCTAAATTCGTCCGCAAGAGCGCATTGCAGTATGGAACATAGCAATGCTGGTACAAGGTACCGGACACTGTTCCGCAACATGGTGTTCCAACGACGAGTGTCGAACCTGAGTTAGAAAAGCTCAGTCCGATCCAAATTTATAGGTCCACGCAAGACAAATTGTTTTGATGCCTACACATACCCACACAGCATGGTTTACATTCACTTCTATGATTTGTTATACATTCAGAAGTTGTACTGAAAACGTGTTTACTGTAATTTATTTAATTAGTTCGTCAGAACTTTGCATTTCTATGACAAATCTCCTGCTGGGGACGGTTTTCTCCCTGCATGCGCTTAATTTCGGGAATTCAAACAAAAAATATGGCAGAAATATTTTTATTTTATCTTGTGTACTGTAATATTGGTTGGTAATCGTACCACTTTTAGCGATTTTTTCTGCGAATTCACGAGTTTCGAACAATGGCTCTTCATCCATAATGTATTGCGTGAGTAGTAAAACTACCATTCAATACATTATATATATATTCAACCATAGCAGCGTTTGCAATTTTTTTAAAACTAGATTCCATTCCACAGTTTGGGTATTTCAATAGATTTAATTTCCGGGAATTTACAGTTACATTAACAAATAATTTATTACGCTAGATGCGTATAGTAGTAGATTTACGACAGGTCAATACCGATTCCTCGAATCTTTATGAACTATATGTGATAACTAGTGAAAAACATTGTCACAGTTAAACATGGTCATTTATAAAAATCGGGAAACAGACAAAACGATGAAAAATATGTTTATTTTACAAAGGGATGATAAATGCTAATGCACTTTATTTTCAGTTATGTTATTATCAAATGTAATTTTATTGTGAAATATAGGTTTGAAAATATGTAACCTAGAACCATCCTTTAAAGGGCGGTGGTCGTCGTGCCGCGTCCTGTTCGATATTGAACTCATAGCGACGTATACAACGCGTGTAACATACATTGTTTATTTACATGAAATTCAAACTAGCGCTGCGCAACGACCACCGCGCTTTAACGTCCAAGAAAATGTTTGTCATCTTTCACAAATTAACCTGTATAAATGTTACCATGTTTTATGTAGCTAATTACTTCGATTTTGACCAAAATTAACAAATTGTCGTGAATTCAAAACCTTATTTGAATATGACAAACATTTTATTCTCGCAGAATTTCATTGACACGTTTTCGACGCTCAGCTTTTTCTCTTTGAATTAGCGTACGTTCTGTAAAATCATTTATTTTCACTGGCAATTAATTTGACTATTTTGTTGTGTTGAGCAATCACTATGATTTAGTAATTTCACAAACTCGGCATAGACACAATGAGTTATGTTGTTATTCTACATATCCACGTAGATTTAACTTATCAGCAAAAATTATAGAAATTAAAAACCAGTGAATAATTGATGCAATCATAGTAGTTGGGGAAATTGAAAGAAATCACAAATAATTTGCAAACTTTGTGATTTCAATTTGATTCCATTTCTCTTAGTTTGCGCATTTTTAACTAGTTTCGCACATTGTATCTCCACCCGCTTTTTGTCTGGTCAATTATATGTTTGAGAAAACACAGGACAATGTAATCTTAGTTGCTTATAATTTCCATACATTGAAAATCAGACGCGAAATATTAATTTATTATATGCAAATATATGTAAATATACTAGTATTTCGTTCTTCTTGTTTGACTCGCACATTACACGTATTTATTAACTTCTATGGGTTGAATAACCTTTCACATAAGCGAATAAAAATAAATTATAGTAAAGTACATCTAAATGTTGCACCAAAACAATTACCGTCCTTCAAAAAATGACCTTCAATCTGTTAGCATGAATGAATGATATAAAATACATTTTATTAACGTTGCTTCTGATATCGTTTGTCAATAGTATTACAAATTGGTTTGTGCGTATAATCTGCTCTACTTAGCATAATTACGGACCCTGTATGGCTCTGTGTTCAAAACCAGTTATCCTACGTCATAGCATTACAAGCAATCATTTCACTCAAATATAGTTTATTTAAAATTTATCTCCTAGTCAAACAACGATATTCTAAAAGTAAAACTGTTTTCATATAAGTGGCAAAATGAAAACACTTGTTTTTAACCGTCGTCGAGGCAAATCACGTGACTCTTTCACGCTATGTCGTGTACAGGAACAGATACAGGATTTGTTGTTGGGGAGCACGCTCACAATGGCGGCATTGTCATAATGCATTGTGGGATATTATTTATTTCAAACATTGTACTTTATGCTCTTATCATAAACACAATCAATCGCAAGGGATAACCGAGGTTGTATTTTCTATAAACGTAAGTGAATTCACGCATGTGTTGCGCTAATGTTGTGTGATCTTTGTCATGATTTGAGCTGGTAGTGTTCAGAGGACAGGTTTTAGAGAACTTGCGTCGAGCAATGCCCTGTGGCGTGCCGAATATTTGAAAGTCACGTGGTGCTAAGAATTACCATTCCTCTAGGTGGTACTATTATGTCATCTGAAAAGCAGCGAAGATACCCGCGGCTTGGCAAGTAAATATGATAAATGGTGTTATTATCGCAGCTGCAAACGGTAATTTGGCGTTTCTTCTCAATGAACCTGGAAACACTATTCTTCGAAACGCTTGTGATACGAATACAGTTATCGCTCATTTTTACTTTCGTTGCATACTATTTTCGGAGGAAAAAAAAATATTTTTGAGCAATTAACCGCTGGTTCTATGGTGGAAGGTCTCATGCTCATTCAAAATTGTCTATCTTGTGACAAAACTATCCCTTTTTTTCCAAATGACATCAGATGAGAAAACTAAGATGATTATTATGCCTTTTTTTTATAATTAGTTTAACATCACTATGGGTTTAAATATTACGAAATTTGATAATAATTCAAAATACTAGTTCTGTAACATTTGAAAAATAAACCTTGTTTTCATTGTAATAGAACGTAATATAAAAATAACTATAAAAATAAAATCATAATTAACACTCGGAAGGGGATAATTATCCATCATAATTTTAAAAAGTTTGCAACAAGTATCACAGCGAGCTCTAGCTACATTGACATCCGTATCCTCGGGGTCGCAGCTACGTCACAGACGTTCCACGTTGCTAAGACGCGCACCACTGTACATGTATTTCTATGGGCTCTGTGCGCGCTGCTGTGGAACGCCGGTCGAGCCGGTGAAAATTCGAGAAAACAACACAAACTCAACTTTGAAGTAATCGCGAACAATCAAATTTATATATGTTACACACGTAGGGCTAATCTTGTTGGACTGTTCAGAGGAGTTTCAACAATCACCCCAAAGTACCGTTTTCTGCGAGTTTTGGGCCTTTGTTTTCACCGCCGCGGGTTGCCAGGCGGTGAAAGTGCCCGGATGTCCGCCACGAGGATAGTGTATTGTGATATGTGTACGGCATTCATTGCTTTCACAAGCATTATCCTTTGGATGAAATCGACAAGTGGCGGTTTACACCAGTGTCAAACTAACTCGTGATCAACGCGGGTAAATCCGACATCTAGAATGCAGCTTTTTTCACTTTAACTGGACAAACTAAAATCAAATCACGACACAGTATAGTAAAAATACTATTGAGCATGTCATTTGCAATCAAAATTAACTTGAATGTCCCGCGACCAAGGATATACACAACTACAGCGGCGTGCTAACCGTGGTCGTGAAGTTAGTCTCTAAAAACTGTGACATCTTTCCGTCAGAGGAGATATTCAATGCTATCACCCTGTTCAGTAATTGTTTGTTTTTGGCTTTCTATTTCAATTTATATGTTTGCGGTAAACTACTAGTTGCTGAGATTGAGGGCGCACTTTAATACAAATTTGATACAACACGCGCTTTAACACAAATTTGGTACAACTTTTGTCGTATGTGGTATAAATATGAATGAGATAGGGGTACTACAATGTATGTTTCACCATGAATATCAACGTTCAAGAAAAGTATGTTTTATTTTATTTGTTCATAATTTTGATAATTTTGGGATGAAGCAGAGATAATATTTGTCCTAACCTTAATTGTCAAACAAACATCATGTAAAGTATTCATATTTGTAAAATAATACATAAATATACGCAAATAACTGGACTAGACAACGAGTTCAAAAACAAGTTCCGTTCATGCTAATTGACTTCATTGCTGCGAAGTAAGTATATACACCAAATATTAGCGCAGAATAATTGTATAATTACGCAATTAAAATAAGTTAAACCATCACAAGTGAATATAAATGGCGAGTTTCATGAAATCCCCGGGCATAGCGATCTACGGTCTCGTGTGATGTCGGTAAATTAAAAAAAAAACGTCACACAAAGCTGCGACATCATAAAGATTACCCCCAATCACGTGACTAAGTTAATCGCTCCCCGTACACCAGATGTTGCCGCCACGAGCAGACGGCATTTTACCCGAATGATGATGAATGCTACAAACCAAGTCAACACTGATGTGTAATTATAAAACGCACATTTACAAAATTTGCGTATTTTTTTTCTTCTGACGTTTGCATCTGAGTGGATACTATTTATGACTGCGAATTCTTGTGTCGGTGTGTAAGCACTATGAGGATTTCGCAGGCTTTCAGCGGGATTATTTGTTTTGCTCTTGGGGCTGCGATGTCAACATTGATTTTATTGAATGTCAGCAGGGATATGTGTACGCTGCAACCCAGAAGTGAATACGACATCAGACGCGTGGATGACATAGCCGCAATCAGAGGTTTCCCGCCATCGTCTTTTGATCTGACCATAGACGACATTGCGGTAAACGAAGCCGTAGACGATATCGACGACGTGTTTCCGGAAAACAACGAACCAATCGATTCAGAGCTCGGTATTGCAAACGAGACCGCCGCGTTGATGAACAATAACGAGGACAATATCACGGCCTCTGTTATACAACGTTGGAATGAAAGACAAAATGTCGGAGCTTCGGATACTGAAAGTAAACTAAGAAACAAACTTAGACTTGATGACAAAATTTGCGAATGTCACAGGATTCTTAAACACCCATTGGACGATGATATAGACGAGAGAAGACAACAAGAGGCGTTACTATGGTTGCAAGAAGAAAGGGAGAACAGGGAGCCGTTGGCGATATGTAAATCTCTGTCGCCTCTTTCCTATATTGGCAGTGGTATAGAAGTTGAACCTCTACAAGCAGTAAGACTTGCTGGTATGTCATTGGACCCAACGGTTACACAGCTATTACATCAATACGGTACAGATATTTTCTCAGTCCGGCTCAAAACTGTAAATAATGTAGCGGTGCTTTTTATTTCCCGAACGACAAAAATCGACAGGTTGTTGACACGTTTTGGTGGAGTCGACGTGACTGGAAATGGTACAACGGAATTGACCATATCGAGTGTGAATCTGAAAAAAATAAATACGCTTTTGCACCAGGTTATTTACAAAAGTACATTTTATGATATTAGCATCCGGGATACTGTGTTGGTGACATTCATGGAGTTCACCATTGAAGTTCACGTTCATGTCAAACGCCAGACAATGCCCGACCTTTACGACCTAGGCCCGAGTCCTTCCATATCTGACAAAGTCACCGTTATCACTAAGACGTTCGAACGTTACGACGCGGTCAATCGCCTCGTGAAGAGCATCAAAACATTCTACCCACGTTTACCCATCATAGTGGCAGACGACAGCGAGTTTCCGCAAAGAATTGTGGGTAGGAATGTGAAGCAAACCCTGATGCCGTTCGCGGAGGGATTCTTCGCAGGCAGAGGAGTCGCACTGAGCCAAGTCGCAACAAAATACTTTCTCTGGGTGGATGACGACTTTGTCTTTACAGAAAAGACGAAACTGGAAATTATGTTGGAGAAACTGGAAGATCCGATCTCACGAATTGATATTGTCGGAGGTATGGTGAGAGGGCGAGCCTATAACAAATGTTACACTTTCAAATATGGCGGACAATCAGGCGACTGCCTCCGAACATTTTACGGAAGTTACCGACCACACGACAGGTATCCCCAATGTGACGTCGCCGACGTTGTTATCGACTTCTTTATGGGAAAAACTTCCAGAGTGAGAAACGTTGGTTTTGATCCGGAATATCGTCGTATTGGCCATTCGGAGTTTTTCATCGACGGATTGGGAAAGTTAAGAGTCATATCCTGTAAAGATGTTGATGTTGATCACGTGCAAGTCAGAAACCCGAAATATTCCAAATATAGAATGCGGACGATCGATACAACTGACGCTAAGCGACACACTAATCACCTATTTTTTAATAACAATTTGAAATGTACGTAAATTTTGGTCACATTTGAAAGACTCGGAAAACACTAAGTGGGTCTACATCTTGTAAATAACATGTACTGGAATACATTATGGCAGTAAAAGCGCTGTGAAAATTGAACATTTCTGCACTTTACGTCTAAGAGTGTATGTAATATAAATCACGCCGAAATCTCGTTGAGAGTGAGACATTCGCGAGACTTGTTTTTGCCCCCTCAAGTAGAGTTTCATTCTCTCCCTTTATCGAGTGCACTGTTCCCTGTTTCATGTGACTACGGTATATGGGCAGTAGATGCGATGATGTATGGAACGCTAAGGTTGACACAAGTCTCGTGGCTTTCTGGCGAGATCCGGTTATCACACTCATAACTCGACGCGACACTGTGAACAAATACTACTTTTGTGTTAACTACAAGATCACGTTGATTATTGAATAAAGTACACCTTTTTTTAAACCGTAAATCTGCCCCATTGCTTGTTACCTCATGATTTGTGACGTCATTAATGTTTCAGTGAATGTTTGTTGAAGGTTGTTGACTATCGTTAAATCGAAAGGTAAGATTTCCTAATAACTGTTTACATTATGGTTTTAGGTAATACTGCTGCTCACAAAATCGTTCATCATCGAACACAACTACTGTTTGCAAAACTCACGATGTATGTAGTTACGAGATAAGTAGTTTTCGATAAATACTATTTATATTTTATTTATTCAAAACATGTCATTTTGTTTCATTTTTTCGCACAGCTTTTTTTTGGAAAACAGTTTTTCCGAACTGCGTAAACAGACTGAATTGTTGATTACTTTACAAGCAGACAATTTTTATGTTCCAATTTAGTTTGAAACAAAAATTGTCGCTTATATTTATCAGGTTCAAAGTCCGCGAACGGCATTGAACATAATATCGCTGTATATTGAAATAACGATAATATACAAGTAATTCCAAGCACAAATACGCAGCGTGGTTGCTAGCAACAATAATTTAGCACACTACTTGCTGGATAATTGAGAGCCAATGAAATTTACACGCAGCATTTCAACAAAATTAAATCAGTGGTCAACCACACACAGACGTTACTACTCGGTATGCTACTTGTGAAGAGGAACAATGTACGAAATACCTAGAATTTTAAATACGGCTGCCTAGAACAGCAATTAATGATCACATGTCGCCTATCATATGCAATTCAAACGTCAGGTCATAAAATTATATTTGAAACACGACTTTGATAATTTGTTTAATCTTAGACAAGAGCCCCCCCAGAAACATATCATAAACACTTTTTGAGGGATAATTATTATTGCTGTGAGAACTAGGTCAGGGTTGTTTATAGCGCGGATCGTGCTATAAGCACAAAAAAGCAATTACTCATTTTTCTTGAATAGAATCGTCCACACATTGTGTACACGTCACAATTCACTCTTTGCATAATCGGCTTACAGCGACGACGCACCACCTGTTACATTGAATAGCGCCCTCAATCTACGACAAAACACAATGTCGGTGTCTGATCGAGCACGGAGTTGTTTGGGGTGAAAATGCTACATTTATCGCCTACAGATACGTGCATTAGTATTCAATTATCGGAGTGAAGGTAGGTTATCGAGTTTTTATGAGTGAATGGTTGGTATTTGAAGGTAGTATGGCTTCTCTCGGTGTCATTCATTCACTATTGAAGCATTGTATATAGAGCACGGTCTGTTTCACTGTACCACAGCGTGCTGCGTTATGAATTGGGATTTAGTTCCGGGATTTAGTTTTTGTCTAAATGCGTAACTAGTATGGTAAATATAGTATTCATATGCGTTACTGTGTGATGATATATGTTGATGTAGGTCGCGGCGACCATACCGTGACTTACGTACTGTGCGTTTAAATACGGGTAATAACGGTTCACCGTCATTTCTATGGAGCTAACATGACTACGCCGGGTGAATATGCACATGAGTAAACGTGTGATAACGTGTACAGACATACAATTAAATATCAGTATCGCGTATCAACCAGAGACTCTGTGAACTTCACGAGACATTCGTCGAGTTCATTGTCTCAAACATCTATAATGGATGCGCTTTTATTCTTATACCTAAGACGTCAAGATCTCGTTGAGAGATCTCGTTGCGAGCGAGAAATCCACTTACTCAAGTAGTGTTTTTTATTCTCTCCTGTTACCGTACTCACCGATCCCCTGATTATGTAAGCATGGTATTTGAAAAAATATGTGCAATGAAGGGAGTAAAATCGAACACTATTGGTGGAGCGGGCAGGTCTCGCGGCTCTCCCAACATGATTTCGACGGCCATTTGCTCTTAGTGATTTGATTGGTTAGTGATATGCAGACTGTTTGTATTCACCAATATACTAAAAATGCTTACGTTTTCGCCCTTGAATACTCGAAAATATACATCCATGGGAGGTACTAAGGTACCTTCCATGATACGCCCAAGCTTAGCAAAGAAACTGGACGTGTTACGTTAGACCGTGTATAGACTGTATATGTTAGTGTGAAGATTGTTGAATGCACATGTATTAATCACCGTGAATTGCAACATGTTTACCTAGGATCAACGAATCAGAGTCATATAACTCTCCGTATGATAGGTCAGTAAGGACTACCTCAATAGCAAGACGTGTTGGGTGAAAAAAGCCAAACCTTTCAAAGTTTTATTGAGCATTGTGTGCATGTGTCTGAGTGTCTGACCCTACACGAACGAATAATTGCGTAGATCTATTAAATTATACAGTTTACATAATGCATCTGTCACTCTATCAATATTCACAATGTCATAATAACCTCATATTATTATACATCTGTCGCCGTAACGCCATAAGTTACAGCGTGCCGTAATTTTGCGGTATTTTACGGGGTATTTTCATCCTACCATACTAGTATTAGGAAATGCAAATTCCAAATATGGAATGATTACGCGCGTAAGCGTTCTCTAATAATAAAAAAAAAACTTATCTTCCCCAATAGTTTGACTGGACCCCACACAGTAAAGTTCGCTAAATTGGTTATAAAATGTTTGGATTTCGGAAAATATTTATAATAATAATGTTGTTGCGAGGATACAGCAAAGTATGTAGAGTATATTTCCGCTGTGCATACTTTGCAGTATCCTCGTAATAACCTTATATTATCGCGAGAAGACGGTGCCTTCCTTTGTCGGTTGTATTAAAGTGAATCCGCTTAATTAAAAATCCCAGGACTGATTCGAAAATAAAGCACACAGTCGAAATAGGTGTAAAATATATGGCACTACACAGGCAGATGAGCGCGACGGGGATCACGGGAAATAATATTCATCATGATTTATAACTAATAATAATCGAATTAGTATTAACAATTTTGTATGCAATGATACATGATGATTAAGAGTTGCCCATCTCTGTTTCCAAGAATATTAAATGTAAATTGTGGTACAGATATTGCTTCAGTTTATTCAAATAATAGACAGAGTTTCAGCTGCGCGTGAATATTCTGTTTGATTACTCAAACAGCTTGTTGGCTCGTTAGTAAGCAGTGATTGCCGGACGCTAACGGTTAGTCATACGAGTGTATCAGGTTTTCGCATTTTTATTCGAATAAAACATTACTCTGCCGTCTTTGATGATTTATTCGACAATATAGTGATATTGTACGACTGGCCACGAACTCAGACTAAACAAAATGGCGGATTTGATAACGTACTAGGACAATGTTTTCAATACGTCTATATCGTGTTCTATGGTTGCTAAACAGTGAAAGTTTCAGTTAGAATATTCACTTTTAAAATCCACGAGTTAAATTATCAATTATAATCACGTGGTGTGTATGTATTTTAAATAATCATACAAGGCTATATACGATTTACCAAGGTATATACTATTTTCGTCGATATACTCATTCATGTTTTTCTCGTATCTTTACAGGTGTTGATAAATCACTGTGTGTGATGAATGTCTCACACATATTTAGCGCTATATTATATTTCACATTCGGTGTATTCATATCGACCATGTTGTTCCTGAACAGCCACACCATTACACCAATACAAAATTACGACATGATTCAGTACATAGCGGATATCGTCGGAGAGAAACAGTTGGTCGAGTTGTTGAAAAATGGACATCAGATATTACCGGATTATCAGCTCCTCGATGACGTATTCGGTGACGTCACTGTGGAGAAGTTGAACAGTCTTGCCGCGGTTATCAGTCATTGGTCACAAAACAGTAACACGCCAGAAATGACAGAATATCGACTTCGCCAAAAAATGGCGACGCACGCAAAATCCTGTGAGTGTGAGAAAGAGCAGCGCTTTCCCCTGAATGACGCCATGGGCGAGAGAAGAAGGGAAGAATCGTTGCTGTGGAAACGGAGGCAAAGAAGGTACCAGGAACCCCTGACAATGTGTAAGTCGATGTCCCCTCTAAGTTACATCGGCAGCGGGATCGTCGTAGAACCAATGCAAATTGTCAGAATTGTCGGTTTGAAGTTAGACCCAATTGTTAGCACGCCCTTTTTCGAGCAAGCATTGAACGAGTTTGCAATAAGCATACGGTCCAAATATGGTCTGGGAAAACTTTTGGTGCACGGAAGAGTTGATCGTCTGCTACAGTATGCTAATTTCAGCATAGTCGGGAACAACACCAGAGAAATTAGTATGACCGCAGACAAAACGATTACAGTGAATTTTTTGTTAGACAACTTGATGTACAAAAGTACGTATTACGATATTGATATCCGGGATATTATCGAGGTGACATTTATGCGTTTTACCGCGCAGGTGCACGTACATATTCGGCGCCAAATCATGCCGGATTTGTACGATGTGGGTACGGGGGAAAAACTGAGAGATAAAGTCACTGTCATTACGAAAACGTTCGAACGCTACGAAGCTGTGAATCGATTGGTGGACAGCATAAACCGGTTCTATCCAGATGTGAATATCGTCGTTGCCGATGACTCAGAGGAACCGGAAAAAATCACGGGCCAGAATGTGAAACAGACATTTATGCCTTTTGCAGAAGGTTTATTTGCTGGCAGAGGGGTCGCCCTCAGCCAAGTGACGACAAAGTATTTTTTGTGGGTTGACGATGACTTTATTTTCACCAAACAAACTAAACTGGAACGTATGGTTGAGAAACTCGACGACTTCCCTTCGAATCTTGACCTCGTTGGGGGCACGGTGAACAACAACAGTTACAACAAGTGCTTCACAGTGAAACCCGGTGGCCAAGATGGCGACTGTCTGTGGTCCATTCATGCCAGATACCGGCCATTGGAGAGATTTCCGCAATGTGACGTTGTTGACGTCGTTGTCGACTTCTTCATGGCAAAAACTTCGGTCGTTCGACAAATCGGTTTCGACCCGGAGTATCGACGAATTGGCCATACAGCATTTTTCATCGACGGACTGGGTAAAATGCGTGTCGCCATGTGTCGTGACGTTGATGTAGACCATCAGCCAGTGCGTACCGCCAAATATATGCAATACAGGGCAAGACTCATTGACAAAGACGACCCTAGACGACATACAAACCACCTAATGTTCAACAATAACTTACAATGTGTTTGAGTAAATTGCAGCTGCCTCATACTTGAAAGAAGATTACGTTGACACATGATGCAATGGCCCGTATGACGCACAGATGACAAAGGATGCTGGGTATTATTAAACGTTTGGTGATAGGGGGCGCTATATAATAAAACCGAACTCCTTCGAGAAAACAAAAAGTACAAAACTGACAACAATGAATTTCCTGAACGCCCTTAAACCAGGATAATCTTAAAATGAGAAATACAACTGAGTACGTTTTATTCGACATTGTTATTGTCTATCTATACATACATGCAAACTAGACTCATCGTCGTAAAATGCCGGAATCTTTACGACATGCAGCTGAAGGTTGCCGCATGAAATTCTAAATATGGCGTCTGGACGCGCCAAACCGGTGCGCTGCTGTTCAAAGTGCGTACAATATTAATCGTTCTATAAACATCATGTGCATATGCTTCAGTTAACCTTTTCACTATCAGTTCCCTCTTTTCATCACAAATTCAAAAATAGTCCCGGTTATAGTCTGCACTTTCCTTAAGAAGGTTTGGACAAAATTAGCAAAAATGGTTTGAGTAAAAACTGAAATTTGGTTCAAATTGTGTCTATTGGATCCAAAATTGGAGTTCATTTCCAGAAATATTGAAAAATATAAGAAACAAATGTAGAAAAATCCTGGGTGAGAAAGTCTGGTGGTGAAAAAGTGAATTGTACGTATTAATTTACAGCGAATGCGCATGCGCATTGGTTATTGGTATGCTGATATGAACAATTAAAACGACATTTATAATTCAGTGTTTTATAATTAACATTCAATGTGAAGAAAAATAATAAAACGGTCTTAATGTCATTCAAATTTCTTTCTTTTTTTTGAATTATTTCACGTTTTCTTTTTTTATTTTTTCACATACGTGTTCACATTACATTTTTTTCCTTTTTGTTACGCTCTCATTTTGAAATCAGAGAAAAACATTTGATACATGTTAACTCAATTAGAATGTTCAGTATATTTGTAGAGCAGCCACGACTTATTGTGAACATTGTAATTACAGATTTACACGCTGACCATTCATTCTTTATTTAAGTGTTGGCATAGTTATTGTCGCTGTACAATTGTGTATTACAGACAAACAAGTTTCACATAATTGATGAAAAGATATACACTGTCGGTGTTTACATTGCATAACACGTAGAATTTTTCATCAGCTATGTTCTACTTGTATAGATTCAACTGATAAGCAAGCTTATAGATCACAGAGAAATTTATACATCTAAATATGTACGTATATATTTCACGACATCACTTCTTTTTATTTCAAGAACTACGTTACTATTTTCCGAATGTGTCAAATGATTTACATTTCTTAATACACGTATTAATACAGACGTTCATATACGACATAAAACGTCGACGTAAACAAGCATCACTGATAAACTTTTGTTTAAATCGTGCAGACAATTTTAGTAACATAAATTGAAACTTGTGAAATAATTACGGTAAACATTTCAGTATCATTTCCTCAGTTTTCATGTGTCGCCACACTATACTTTAATACACAATGCCTACACAACTGCGCCCTCCAGTGTCAGGATGCACCGTAATGTTATAAACAACATATATTGGCGAAAGCAATGTAGTTCAACTCGATATTTGTGTTTATTGCGTAATCGTTTGTCATCAAAAATGCGATTAAAATATAATTTTCATTGATGGATCGATTGGTTGATAGATACATATCAAAACAACATCGATGCTTTGAACGGCTTTAGTTTCACCCAATTACGTCATAGAAGGACTTCGGCACCAGAGGGCGCTACTAATGGAGGAGGTATACTTTTGTTGGATAATCCTGTCGTCACATCACATTGTAATGAGTATTTAATTGGATTGTAACTGTTAATGTGTTCAAATGTAGTATAATAAATACATTGTGAAAAAAGTAATGTAGTCAATTTCATATATATTATTTTATAGTGATGTAATTGTTTAATATTGCATGTTCATATATTTGGAACTATATATAACTCGCACACTGAAAATATATCTTTGGCCAGAATTAAAATAACCTGATTTCGTCAGTTTTCGTTTATGTCATGGATGCACAAAATAAACTTCAGTTATTTTAACCAGCCTGAAATGAACACGATAAATTATATAATTAAATAAGACACTCACGAACTTAAATTTATATGAACGTTAATGTCATATGAACAAAAAAAATCTAATTACCGTGGACACGATTGTGGCCGCTATATTAATCAAGAAATATTATTCAGATAACCAAACATAGCCATGATTCTTCATTTTTGAACTTTAAAAATATTGGCAAAGTCAACAAATTTCAATTAACAGGAACGGAACTGTTATCCGTTTTGATTTATTTCCAATTTGAATCCGTTAATTTGTGTCGTCAATCATGTAAATTTGCTGCTTCTAGGTTCTATGCTTATTAATGAGAATCAAATATTCCGGGAATATGAAATTCATATATAGATTGTAATTGCCAATGAACGTTAAACACACCACACATTAAAACGTAATCAATTATGATAAATTAAATACGCTGTCAACATCGGATGTTATAAGACTAGACCGTAGGCTAGCATACACAAAACTCTGTGAACGACATCGGAAAGAAACTTCCAAGAAGACATTCACGTGGATATTATATCTGGTATGTAAAATATAATATTTTCTCTATTTTATTTATTTATTTATTTGTTTATCAATTGAAAAAGATTGCATAATCAAAATACTGCATAGTTTCACAGTTTTGTTTTGTTGTTGTGAAATGAGAAGAACAATCTCCTTACACAAACTTCATAAAGTTATATAGTATTGTATCGTCTTTTATTCCAATGAAGCGATGAACATATAAGGAATAACGATTATTATTATACATATGTCACCGTACCGCCGTAAGTTACAGCGTGCCGTAATTTTGCGATATTTTACATGGTATTTTCATCCTACCATAATAGGAAATGCGACTTCCAAAAATTGAATTATTACGCGCGTAAGCGTTCTCTAATAATAAAAACAAACTTGGCTGCCACCAGAGTTTGACCGGACTCCACACAAAGAAGTTCGCTGGTTCTGTTCTAAACATTCCCATGGTGTATCCTTGGAAGGAACATTTGTACAATAATAAGTTTATTACGAGAATACCTCAAAGTATGCACTCAGACTCGTATTCTCGTAATAACCTTATATTCATACTTAAAACAGAAAATTCAGACAGGTATGAATAATAGTGTTACGTTACGCCCAACATCTTTAGCGGAGGCGAGTCCATTTATTTCCATCTTATTTCATGTAATTTTACGCCACGACATGTCATTTCGTGATTCGAGTATTGCGATTTCATCTGACTTTGTGATATCTTGCCAACATCACGCAATGTCAACTTTGCACCATGCTATTGGATGATATAACATTCCATATCATTATGTGTTATTTAATTAAATAATTTAATGTGCGTTGTGCCATTTCACAATGCGTCATTCCGTTTGTAGTATGCTTTTTTACGCTTTCGCATTTTGCGTCATGCAACTTGAACCAACCTCATTTTACGCCTTCGAGTTCTGCAATAGTGTTTATTTTAGTTTGTTTTACAGTTTATCAACAGTATTATGACATTTTGTTCATCAGTGTACTACTTTTTATTGTATTAAGGTACCGACATTAGATTTTTTTTCAAAATATATAACCATCACATTCGGGCCGCTATTACTCTCAAGTGGCTCGGTCAGTTATTGAAGGCCATTTAAAGCGAGAGGCTGATTACATTCAGATTACATACAAATCGTCACTTTCTCTTTTTTACACGTATAAAGTATAAATTCTACTCATTGAATCGTGTATTAGTTCATGACATACAGTCGAAACTGTTAAATAATTAATATATTTATATTTCCATCCAACAAATAAGAAACAACTCGAGTAATCTTTAAATATTGTTTGAAGTTCCTTATTTCATAGTCACTGTATTATACTTGTTTGCTTTAAATGTATCTCCTAAGCATTTGTGGTTTGCTGAATGTTTGCCAGCAGCCATCATTAATTTGTTATTTTAAGAATAATGAAAAACACATTATTAGTGATATATACAAAGCCTATATAAAACAAATTCCCAAATTGTGAATCTTGAGTCTTATCTAGCGATGCATTTAGGCATGCAGGTTGAACTTGCTATTGACGTAAAACGTATCGCTCGATTCAGTGACCATCGTCTTGCAAAGGACGAATGTTCTCCCCTTCCCATTTTCCCAAACACACAATATTTTTTCAGATTTTGATATGAGGTAAACCTAAAAATTTGAACCCCCTCCTACTACTTTTTATGTGATATTCATTGTACTTTCAGCAGTCCCATAAAAATCAATCAATTGTCAAATTGCTTACAAATAATTCAGATACGAAGATAATTAGTCAGCTGAGCTTTCGAATGTCCTAATATCAATTGTTGGCCACATGAACATAGTTTCTCACTACTTCCGGTTCTTCATCAACATTTAAATATATATATATATATATTATTATTATTGAGGTTTATTTCAAATTAAAAATATTACACCTTAGAAGTTAAAACATATGTACACATCAAAATATGTTCGTGCTCCACAGTTTCCATAAAACACTATCCAATAAAATAGAAATGGATAATACAGCTGTAACAAGTGAGTTGTCAGACAAGTGTAAACGTGAAAAAAACAAACTAAAACACTTCTTTCTAACAATTTCGTCAAAGGTTAAAAGAGATTAACCAACAAACATCAAACTATTGCTTTGAACATAAGAGTATTTAAAACAATTTTCGAAAAACTTGTGAATGAGCTCTGTGTAATTACTATAAGGCTGAATGGTGTAATAACACCATAAATAAGTACACTATGGAACATCACAAAAAACAGAGAACAAATTGCCTCTAACATAAAACATTCTAGTCTTGTTACATATATCACTATCATCTTTAAGATCAGAGGTTATTAAATGACCCAAATATTTATATACGTCAACA